TTAGGTTAAGGGTTAGGTTTAGGATTAGGTTTAGGTTTAGGATTAGGTTTAGGGGGGTTAGGTTTAGGTTTAGGGGTCAATTTTAGGTTTAGGGTTTACAGCGTGCTTCTGTCTCTGCGCTGTTGTTGCCCTGTTGATGACGTCAGCGACGCGGTTTAGTCGGGCGCGGTTTTGTGGTGGAACCAAGAAAAAGGTTTGTCATCACTGCCCGATATGGATCTAAGCCACCACATGTACTTTCACAATCAAGTTGCGAGGAGGTCATTGTGATCTAAACTGCAATGCAGAATTGTAGGAATGTATCATTTGATTAAATAGTCTAGGATGTATTCTAGAACCTGGCTGGAGGTAATAGTAATTTGAAGAGGAAGAACAGAAAATGCACAGTTGTTACTCTCTTAATCTTAGTCTTAGTATTCAGGCATCTTCCCACATTCCAACACTTTTCAAGTCACATTTCACTATGTTTCCAAAAAGACAAGGTTTTATGATGAGTAGGAAGATAAACCTTTTAGCAGCTCCCAGTGTGTTTAGAGCTGCAGTGTCATGCAAAGTAGCATTGTGTCCAATTCTCTGAACCGTTTTTATATTTCTGTGATAAATAATCTAACTTTCTTCCCTGTCTGCCTGCAATTTCTGCTGTTTGATGTCTTTTAAAGTTTTCTTATTTGTAATAACCCTTTAAAGACTGAACCCTGCAATAGCATTAGGCAAGAAAACAAAACGAAAGTAAGTAATGCATGTTGGAAAATATACACAGCTCCTGCCCAGTCCTCCAAATTTTGCCTAAGTTTTCTGCCATCTCATTACTCATTCATCTATTATTAATTATAACACCATAGTGGTGTCGGTTTATATGTGGCATGAAAAATAATCCAACATTCAGTTTGTGAGTGTGAAAAAATAATTGGCCTCAAAGTCAGTTAACTCAATTAAAGGGATACTTGGCTAGTGGCTTTGGCTATGTCATTAGACAATGGGGGTCTAATGCGTATACATTTTATAAACTTTGACTTCACTTATCAGAGTTACATTCTCACTGTATGGGTTCTAGAGATACATTATGCTCAAAAGAAACTGAAGCCTCTAGTTTTGGCTAAAGCCAATGTTTATGATTTCACCATCAGAAAGACATGGGTAAAATGGGTTTTATGGGAGAGTAGTAGGATAGAAGTAATATCTCACTAAGGAGAGCATTGAGGCTCATTGAAGCTTTGCCAAAAAGCACTTAGATAATCTTCCAGACTTCTGGAGGAATGTTTACGTACACATGAATTCGAAGGTGAACTTTTGACGCTACAGAAGTATTGTTATGTCTGGCAGAACTAAACCCTGCATTCCACAAGCATAATTTTAGACCAACTGGAGCGTGGTTTGGGAAAGTTTGCTGCGTTAGGACAATGAGCAATTTGCCATCGTGAAAAAAATCACAAAGTGTATTTTTTATTAGAGGGATAAGAATTATAATGTGAAGTGTTCAAACCTAAATGGACATCTTCCCACATTCCAACACCGGGTTCTTTGGACCCAGAATGGCCAACTTCGTTTTACCTGCTGGCAGCTCTTTGAAGGAGCTGTGCCTTTTCCTGGACTGACACAGTAGCTATGCAGGCTCAGGAAAATACGTATTTGAATTAAGATGCATTAAAGAAGTTGCAGCAGGCATATGAACTTCATTCACAGGGCGGCCTTGACCCCATCACTAATACGTTGCACTATTATTCATAATACACTCTAAGCCAAAACCAAACAAATCAAATTATGATTTTTGTACAACGATTGTGTCCAGTCAGCATCCCGGAGCCTAATCTACTTCACAAGTTGTTGTAGAGAAATGTACTCTTCTTTAGGAGAGGAGTTAGAAAAAAAATTCCCCAAAAAAGAAAAAAAAGAAAAAAACAAGTTCCCATTTGGAGGAGTTTCCTTGAGGTTGTAGACTTTTTTTTTAAAGCTTGTGTTTATGTCATCTTTTCCCTTCAACAGTTAAAGATCATCTTGTTCATCTGTAACTGGATACCTTGCTAAAGCTGCTTTGCTTGCCAATCGGTCTGGATGAGACTTGGGATTTTATCAGGCAGCAGTACTGACAGAGGGTGGTTACATAAAAGTGAGAAATGTGCTGCTCCTTCCCAGTCTGGCACTTGAAGTATGACAATCCTATTTAGAATACTGCAAGGAAATACCTTGCAACAGAATAGAACCGTAGGGTAAATTAAATCAAACAAAAAATGTATTCTAGCATTAACTGACCTGGAACTGTATATACATAGATGCAGTGCCCCAAAGTATGGGTACCATTCCACTTTTCCCTAAAGAAACACAATTTGCCCTGAAATAAGCTTCAATTGACACAAATAAGTGGTATACACCAGGGGTGGGTTTCAGGCGGTTCACGGCGGTCCCCGCGAACCGGTTGGTCGGCGAACCCGGAAGTAACTAACTTCCGGGAACGCCGAAGGGTCCACCCGCCCGCCCGCCCGCGTTTCTTACCCGGTTTTGACGAGTTCTGCGCTTCCACGCATGCGCAGGACGCATACAGCGCCTGCGCGATCCTCCAGGAGCAGCTGGAGCATCGCACAGAAGCTAGTACGCATGTGTGCAATGCGCACGTGCACGAGGACACCGCCGGCCCCGTTCCAACCGAACCGATTGGAACGGGGCGAGAAACCCACCCCTGGTATACACTATTCCATTCTTTATTCCATTATCCATGGAGCAGATACTTTTGATTCTGATGTAGAGGTGAGGTATTCTTGTAAATAAGGGGAAAGGTGAAGGGATACCAATCCTTTTGGCTATATCGGTAAGCATGCCTGGCTGCTACTACTGTAGAGGCCACCAGCCTTTCCCTCCCTACATTCTTCAAGATTCCTTGGGTCAGTTTGAAGTAGTATGTACTCTAACTCTCAGAATGCTGACTGGGGAATTCTGGAAGAGGAAGTCCATACAATTTTAAGACTCCAAGGATGAGAAACACTGCCTTGGGATCTCAATTTCCTATTAATCTTAGCTTGGCCCTCTGTTTGAGGCTTCAGCTTATCCTGTACCCAGTCTCCCTTGTAATAAATTTGTCAATTTTGTTTAGACCAGTGGTCCCCAACCTTCTTTTGGCCATGCCCCAACTAAGCATTTCTAAAATCCTGATTCCCCCTCCCCCCTGCCGTGACATATAATTCTTACTTTACTCAAAAAGTGAACTCGAGGAAGCCTAAAAGTCCATTAACTTGGTTTAAACAAGGTTCAAATTGCCCCTATTAAAAATCAAATTCTGTACCACCACCACCCCTTGTGGGAAGTGGGCTCCACGTTGGGAACCACTAGTTTAGGCTGAGGTATGCCTCTTACAAAGGTGGGCTGTTGGGGGTTTGCAGGGGTTTGGGAGAACTTCTAGCTAAGATTCTGTGCAGTTCAGAGAACCCCCAAGTCCCACTCCTAACTGGCCCCACCCATCCCTCCCCGGAGTCACCATGCGGCCTATTTTGGATGCAGGTAAGTGCAGGGCGTGCGTGGAGGCTTGGGGAGGGTGAAAAACGGGCCAGAGGGCCTCCGGGGAGGCCGTTTTCACTCTCCTGGAGGGTGGAGGAAAGCCTCTAGAGCCCGGAGAGGGCAAACACACACACCCCGCCATGGTGTAGGAGGCCGCCTAGGTCATGGCACAGCCACAAACACCCAGCAGCCTTGCTAAAATTTTTGAAGCCCACCCCTGGCCTATTGTTAACTTGTTAACCTGACAAAAATAGGAAATGTTTATGTTGCTTTGACAGGAATGCTTCAGAATGGAAAGAAGTTTGATTCCTCCCGAGATCGAAACAAACCTTTCAGGTTCAAGGTTGGTAGACAAGAAGTCATTAAAGGGTTTGAAGAAGGAGCTGCACAGGTAAGAGAATTTATCTTTTCCGAATAGAAAATGCCACAGTCGTAACGCTAACAGTGTCATAAATGAAAGAGGGGGGGGGGAAGGGTATGAATTTAGAATCTCTGCAATGTATGTGTTGGTATGTTAAAATTAGTACAGACAGGCAAACAGCTCTAAGGCATATTTACTTTTAAGTAAATCCATTGTACTTAACAGGACGCTTCCGATAAGCATTAGATAATCCTATCTTTTTTGTGTGGCTTTTTTCCTTGCGTTTTCTGCTCAGATTCTCCTGTGTTTTATATAATTTCCTCCTTTTGGTCCTATGATTGTTTGATTTCCCCCCCTGCTTCTACGTTTGGGATCGCAATTTCATGTGAAACACTTCTGAAGAGAATAAAACGTAAGCTTAGAAACTGAATCACCCACACACCATTTCTGGATCCCTAGTTTTCCAAATGAACTTAGAAGGGCCTTGTGAATTTAGGGCATTCTGTACTAATTGAGAGAAGTTAACCAAATTGACAGCAGTTGAGTATTTACTCTGCCTAATATGAGCTTCCATGTTTCCCACTTTTTTATGTAAGCAACTTAGAATACCGTCTTCTACAAGGAAGTAAGGGCCCTATTTAATCCTGTTAGGATTTATATAAGAGCAAGCTTCTTAATCACCTCTGTAGGTGTTTGCTTCTAATAGCTACCTGTTGTCTCCATCTAGTGGTTTGTTGTATACAAAATTAAATTTAAATGAATATGTCTCACAAGGATAAAATCTCCTTCCAGTCAAGCCAGGGGTATCAAACTCAAGGGAACCGGCCTGTGGGGTGCTTAGATCTGGCCAGTGGGGCTGCTCTAGACAACAAAGAACTGGCCTATAGTATCTCTGTCAGTGAAAATGTAGCTCCTTTTTTGCTGGCAGAGGGCTGCAGGAGGCTGTTGTAGCCGAAAACTGGGCCCGGGGATGCATGTGCGATCCCTCCACGCTCCATTTCCGCTGGCAGAGGGCTGCGGGAAGCCATCGTGCCCCAAAATGGGGAGAGGGGGCATGCACGGCTTTCCAACAGGGGTTCGATCCTATCGGTGTAGCAACCAATTTGCTCTGAGCACACTTTTTTAACATAGATTTTTGGCTTAACACGTTTGAAGTATTTTTTGGTTCAAAATGGTAGGAAATAAATTTGGCGGCATGAATTGCGTTTTGATCTCATGATTTAAGGTATATAGAACTTTTGACTGGTATTGCCAGTTTTAAAACTTGATGCATCCTGGGACATGGGGCTCTCAACATTTTTCTTCTCTCTTTTTCATACCCTCTAATGCCAGATGAGCCTTGGACAACGGGCAAAGCTCACTTGTACACCTGATATGGCATATGGAATAACAGGTCATCCTGGAGTTATCCCATCCAATGCTACTTTGATTTTTGATGTGGAGCTGCTCAGGATAGAATAAAGTCGGGACTAAAAATTAAAAAAAAAACCTGTTCATCAGTGTTCTTTCCCCATTCTTTTATAATGGAAGAAATCTCACTGAAATTTATATCTTCACTCAAGTTGTCATGCCAATAATGCTTATGAAGTTGTTTTGCCTACTTCCTTTCCCTCTTTTTTTTAAAAAAAACACCTGATTATTGGTATTTGTTCAGTTGGTTGCTTCTTTACTATGGAATGCAAGTTGTACATTTTATTTTGCACGTGAAGCTTCAAAATTGTGATTAGAATTATATATATATAATTGAAAGCTATATATACAGATTTTACTTATTGAACAACCACTGCCTTATAATACACTAAAGGAACACAGGTGCTCAGAAAACAAGTGTACATTGTGTACACAAGTGGGCATTAGCCAAACCAAGTTACCTGCGCTGCCACTTTTTTCTCAAGCTGTTCCACTTGCAGCTGTTTTAATTAACACATGTGAAAACTTTTCAGAAAAATAAAGTATTGATATTTTCTCTGTTGCCTTTCTCTTGTTTTTAAACTACCGTCGAGCCAATACAAGCCTTTATTCTGTTGGTTCTGTTGTTGAATGGATCAATCTTACCAACCCAAATTATGCAGTCCATAAATCCAAATATAAGCTTAGATTTGAATTATGCAAATTCCCAATCAATGCTCTTCAAAGTCTGCATATCGAATGTCGTAGAATTTTCCAGATCCTCTGAGGGTTTACAGAGAAATCTGCTCCAAGTTCCTGTTTAGTTGTCATTGTCTTTAGATTAAGGAACTTCCTAATGTAGCACTTGCTGAAGTGGGAATTTATTCCTCAAAGAGAAAAAGATGGCATCCTGAAAAAAGAATAGTCCCTTTTGCTTCCGGAATCTTCTCCATAAACTGGTTCTTACCTCTTGAATAGAAGTTGGGATGCATTCATTATATTGAGAAATAAAATGGTTTGGTTTAGCTTAGAAAGAATGCGAAGGAGGGAGGTGGCCTCAAAATTGGGTAATATATGTCTGGTGACTGATTCCTCATGGTACTTCTTAGCACAAGTAATATATTTTAACTAGTAGACATGGGAGAGGGAAGAGTCAATCGCAGTTGTGAACATAAAAATCTAACTATATTCAAAACGGGTCATTGCTCAGTCTTGATACCCGGAAGCTCTAATTCATCACCACCCAGTTTGAGTATTCAAACATAGCCATTCCCTAAGTATGAGGAGTAGAAACCACTTTCAACTTTTAATCTTAGACTTATTTCTCAAGCTTAGTTTCCTAGAATTTATACCAACTGCATATGCTGTCAAAATTAGACATAAGCTGAGAATCTGGACACTACTCTTTTTAAGACAAACCAAATTAAAATTCACACAAAAGTTGAACTTCAACTTCAACATTTGAAGGCAAGCTGTTCCATTAGTTAATTGTCCTCGCTTAAGTTTCTCCTTAATTCCAGGTTGCTTCTATCCTTAATCAGTTTCCATCCATTGTTTTTTGTCCTGCCTTCTGGTGCTTTGGAAAATAAGTTGACCGCCTCTTCTTTGTGGCAGCCCCTCAAATATTGAAATACTGCTATCATGTCACACACACACACCCCAGTCCTTCTTTTCTGTAGACTGGCCATACCCAATTCCTGCAGTTTGAGGGCTGTCAAACTCCTGGCCCACGGGGCCTCATGCGTCACACGCTGACCACGCCAACGCCTGGTTTAGCGAAGGGGGGGGGGAAGTCCCAAAATACCATGTG